GGAGTGTTACGGTCAGACGCAAATCACCTTCTCTGGCTCAGCAGCCCTGTCACTGGTGGGTCTGCGTATTTGGGATGAGTGGGAGGCCTGGAAGGGCTGTTGGTGGTGTAGGGGGAGTCCTTACACTCCCTGTTCATCTCTGTTGGGTGATAGTTTCTCACGTAGCCTCTTCAGTGACATCTGACCCACTGCAGCGGGGCTGGAGGCTCACTCTTGCTTTGATCCTGGTCCCAGAAAGCAACGCCAGTGTGAAGGTGATGAGCAGTTTTCTGCATGTGGAGGGTGAGGTGTGCACCTCATCCCGCCTGCGCCGTCTGTCCCATCGTGACGAGCAGCTTCGTGTCACCGTGCAGGCAGGAGCAGGAAGCAGTGTGGACAGACAGACAGCGCATTTCCCGGCCAGCGTGGTCTGTTTCCTCCCCAGCTGTGAAAAGAAAACGTGTCCAGGAAGCTGGGCAATGAGAAAGAACTTTCCAGCTCCGTTATCTTTACGTGCCTGTCGTGGTTGTTTTGTTTTCAGTAATAGGAGAAAATCAGATTAAATTTTCCATGTAAGTAGGTTGAGAATCACAGTGAAAAGAATGTGTTTCACCAGGTGGTCCTTGAACCAGGCCATCTCGACCGTTTGAGTACCCGGCCCTCGTGGCGGACTGCGCCTGGCCTGGGAGACGCCCCGTGCTAGGACTTAGGTCATTGCCACATGTCTGGCTTAGCCTCCACGTCCACGATCTCTTTGGAGTAGCACACAACGTGTACGGCCTTGTTCTCACATTCAATCCCGTGTTCTGGTGGCACTTGATCAGATGTTCAGCTTGGGTTCTAAAAACCACATAGGTGAAATTCTTGCTCCTGACATACATCATTCAGTAGTTGCTATTTAAGAAAATTTTAATATTAAATACCAGTGCCTAAAAATTTGATTTTTGCCCAGCCATTGGCTGAGCATCAACACATGCACCAAGAGGTCACTGGTTCGATTCCTGGTCAGGCACATACATGTCTGGGTTGTAGGCTTGATCCCCAGTAGGGGGCGTGCAGGAGGCAGCAGATGGATGTTTCTATCTCTCCTTCTCCCTTCTCTCTCTCTAAAATCAATAAAAGTATATTTATTTATTTATTTTTAATTTTTTTTCCTCACCCAAGGACATTTTTGCATTTATCTTGAGATAGAGCAGGAGGGAAAGAGAGAGGAAGAGAGAGAGAGAAACATCGATGTGAGAGAGACCCATTGATGTTTGAAAAACATCATGATCCCAACTGGGGCCAGGGACAAACCGCAACCGAGGTACGTGCCCTTAGCAGGAACCGAACCTGGGACTCTCCGGTCTGCAGGCTGACGCTCTAACCACTGAGATAACCGGCCAGGGCAATAAAAACATATTTAAAAAATATTTTTTAAGTTGATTTTTAAATGTGGCAACCGTGCTCATGAGTCTATCCAGGCTTTAAGGATTTGAGTTCCTAGAAATGGCTGTAGTCCTTTTTTGTAGAGTAGCTGTAAGTAGGCTGTTGCCTTTGACACTGCACTGTGTTGGGGTGGGGTTCGTTTGGGCTGGAGTCATGCGTTAGTGTTAGCATTAGAATCTGAAGCTCTGCACATTCTTTGTGGGGACCAGAGTGCTGAGCTTAACATCAGATACCTGTGTGGTTTGGCATCTAAGGAGCTGTTAGGTATACTCGGCAGGAGTCCCGGGTCCTGCCTGCTGTGGTCTGAATGTTTGTGCCCCTCCCCACAATTCATATGTTGCAATCCTAACCCCCAAATGGGATAACATTAGGAGTTCAGGCTTTTTGGCTTATGAGGGTGGGTCTGTCATGAATGGCAGTAGTGTCCTTCTGAAGATGGTGTCACAGAGTTCCCCAGCCCTTCACCTGTGAGGGGGTGCTGCCTGTGACCCGGGAAGAGGGGGACAGGGTCCTGACCAGAACCTGACCATGCTTGTGCCTTGATCATGGACTTTCAGCCTCTAGAAATATGAGGAATAAAACCCTGTTGTTTACAAGCTGTGTGGTTGTGGTGTTAGAGCATCCCAAATGGACTAAGACCCCGCGCGGTAGGCAATGACAAAGTGCTGTCAGTGATCGAGGTTAGCACGCAGTAACCAGATGATGGGGACATGCTGAGTTTATGAAATACACATTTCTCTACTCTGGGTAGGTGTAAGGGTTGTTTGAGGTTCAGAGCTGTCCTGTGCAATCTCCCAAAAACCCAAAATAGCCGTGGTGCTTAGGAGAGCTCATCAGATTCTAGAACCTCTTTGTAGGGACCGTTAAGGAATCACAAGCCTTGGGAAACTAGTTCTTCAGCAGAAACCACCTAACAGGCCTCTCTTCAGACAGAATGTCTGTGATATTTTTAAAAAACAGCCTCCTGCCCTACTTCAAGAGCTGTTTTGATGCCACTGTAGTGGGAGCAGTCATTTCGATCACAGGAGTTCAGGTACTGTTTTTCTTTGGTTACGACCAGTCTGAAAGAATTGTTTGTGTTTGTGTTTGTTAGAGTGATAGTGATATTAAGTGCCAGAAACCGTTTAAAGGTAACAAAATGCCTGGATATAAAACTTGAGCAGTGGTGTTTCTTTGGCCTCAGATTCTCCCCTTGTCATCTTGAAAAAAGAACACACATTTCTTTTTCGCTATGCTCTGTGGTCGCTGCATAAGAAGTCAGTGACCAACCTACTCACCTGCGCAGTCTCTCTGGGCGAATAGCCGCCACCTACGCTTTCAGTGGCCATTTGGTTACTGACCTGCACTGGGGCACTGGGCCCATGGGCGGCTTTGCTCACTTGGCCCTGGGCACTGGAATAGAAGCCTGTGTCGTTATATGCTGGAATAATGGCATTACAGAATAACAGTCATAGACCATATACTGTTTCCCCAGCTACATGTGAACTCTTAGAATCAGAGGATGGGACTTGTGTCCACTTACTGATCCGTTCAGCAGGTGCTTGCCTTGGGTCTGTCATGCCATGAGCTCCATGTGTACAGACATAATGTAAAATAATATAAGTAAGTAAACAGTGGAATAACATGAGCATTTACTTTTTAAGAAGCTACTGGCTGTAACAGAAAAGCTAGGACGGGAAGGGCCGCCTGTGTGTTGCCACCAGCCCTTACCGCACCAGGTGTGCTTCCTGTCAATTGGAGAGTTGTGGGCACTCCTGGTGGGTGCAGAGCCTCGTTATTGACCAGTCCCTCATGGCATGTGAAGGATGCAGTTACTCTGCCCGTATTCTCCTTGGGAGAGGACATAGGAGGCACAGTGGGACAGAAGGGGACAGGGCTCTTTTGTGACTCATCCTGTCTTTCTTTAGCACTGCAGCCGACCTTCTGCAGAACTCCAAGCTCCCAGTAAGGACAGTCTGTGATTATAAAAAGAAAAGGAAAGAATGAGGCAAAACAGACAGAGCCACACGTCTGCCTATCGATGCTGTTACATTGATTAAATCATGTAAAAATATTCACGTCGTCTATGATACCTTGGATTGCAAAGCAATCATCTCAAGGTGACTTCTAGTGAAGAGTTCTGTAGGGTTAGTGTGTGCAAGGGCTCTCATTGATACAGTCCCAGCTGGACACAAGGAAACCAGGAAACAAAGGGGGGCCGCCCCTACTTTTTCCCCTTAACACAATACTCAAGTCTCTTGAAGAGGTGAGAGAATTGTTACTAAGTCTCCAGCGCTGTCTGGTTAAGGGAAGAGGTGAGAGAATTGTTACTAAGTCTCCAGTGCTCTTCTGGTTAAGGGGAAGAGGAGAGAGAATTATTACTATCTGGTTAAGGGGAAGAGGTGAGAGAATTGTTACTAAGTCTCCAGCGCTGTCTGGTTAAGCGGAAGAGGTGAGAGAATTGTTACTAAGTCTCCAGTGCTCTTCTGGTTAAGGGAAGAGGTGAGAGAATTGTTACTAAGTCTCCAGCACTTGTCTGGTTAAGGGGAAGAGGTGAGAGAATTGTTACTAAGTCTCCAGCACTCGTCTGGTTAAGCGGAAGAGGTGAGAGAATTGTTACTAAGTCTCCAGCGCTCGTCTGGTTAAGCGGAAGGACTGTGTGGAGCAGCGTGGTTCTGACAGGAGGGTTGGGTGTGTCCCGCTCTGGCACGATGTCCTGGTGGCTCCGTTGGTGGTGAGAACCATGGGCTTGTCTGTACTTGGCACCGGAAAAGACAGAGTCCAGAACAGACCAGATTTGCTGCAATTTCAACTTAATGTCTTGTCACTGATCAAGAATCAAATCATTCTTTTAATAAGCTCTTCTGTTTCATCAAAGGGACAGTGTAGATTAGTAAAATGCACACACACATAATTAAGTGACTTTTCATTTTATGCATCTATTATTACTCCTTTTTCTTATCAGCACAATTATCTGGTGAAGTGGAATTTCTCACTCGTTTTTTGTTTTTATCTTCATATATATAATATATATATACACACACACACATACTTAATACATATATGTAATAAAATTTGGACTACAGGCCTGTTACAACAACTAAAATTAAAAATAATGCTAACATTAGATGTTGGCAAGGATGTGGAGAAACTGAGTCATATATTGCTAGGGCAATGTAAACTGGTACAACCACTCTAGACAATAATTTGGATTTTTTTTTTTTTTAAAGAAAACATGAACATCATACAACTCAGCAATTTCACTCTTGGACATTTATCTCAAGGAAAGGAAAACTCATATTCACACAGAAACTGCTCTGTTCACCACAGCCCCACGCTGGAAGCTGCGTACATACCCTCCAATGGGTAGGTGGTTCGGCAAACTGTGACATGTTCCTTTACAGAGTATTATTCAGCAATAAGAAGAGCAAGTTGTTGACATGTAAAACAGCAGCTGGGATGTATCTCAAGGGCATTATGCTGGTGGAGAAGCCAGCCTTCCAAGGTCACATACTAGATGATCCCATGTATGTCATTGTCTCTGTCATTTTTAGCTACTGTAAGAGAAATACTGCAGACTGCATGGCTTAAACAACAAATGTTTCTTTCTTAAGGTGCTGGAGGCTGGGAATTCTAAGATCAAGAGTCCAGCAGAGCAGACCTGGGTGAGGGTCCCTGGCCGGCAGGTGCGCTCTGGCTATATCATGTCCTGTGTTCCATGACCCAGGGAGAGTGATCTGTCTTCCTCTTCCTCTGGGTCATTAACCCCGTGATGAGGGATTGAGGCCCCACTCCCAGGACTTAAATTCTGATCCTGATCACCTCCCAAAGGCCCCACCTCCAAATACCGTCGCGGTGGGGGTCAGGCTTCCAATGATGAATTTTGAAGAGACACAAACATTAGTGCATAGCAGTAATATTTTTAAGTTACAGACACGTAGATGAAAGTCAGATTGGTGGTTGCCAGGGGTCAGGGACGGCAGGGTGGGGAGTGGACTCTCAAACAGACCATGGCACAGGCCTTTGCGGTGATGGGCTGGTTTGATACCTGGCCGGGGCGGTGTTACATGATCTGCCCTTGTCAGGTTCTCGGTTTCGATGTGGTTCAAAGCTGTGTAGCTGGAACCACCGGGGAGAGGACCCCCACGTGTACAGTCTTTGCAGTTGTCTGAGACTCTTAATTATTACAAAATAAAAAGTTAAAAACTTGATGGCAGATCTTTGAGAGTGTTTTTATTCCTTGTCAGATAAGAGACATCATTGTGTCTCACATTCGTGAATCATTAGCTTTTTCACTGTTCTGTCTAGTAGAAGTAAGACTCGTTATGAAGTAAATAACATTCGTTATGTTTTATTTTTTAGTTACATTTTTAGATCTCTTGCTGACTTAAAGTGCTTAGCAGACGGGTAGCCAATTTGCTTTTTCCTGTTTCCAAGGTTTGTTAGATCAAGTGGATGGATTGTTAACAGATCCCAGTTCATTCATCAGGTGGTGATGACATACCTAAGGGTTGAGCTCTGCTCATGATGTGGACGCAGTCGTGAGCCAGATGGGGTGCTCACCCTCGCGGGGGCCCCTTGGCCTGGCAGGTGAGGCTGGGAGAAGGCGGGGCACTGAATGAGCCGAAGCCTCAGGGACGTCTTTCCGTGCCCACGTCAGGTTGGTGTCTCTAAGCAGCGTCACCTTCAGTGTGGGCAGAATATTTTGGATCTGGTGATATTTCCGGCAGGAAAATGAACATGATTTACAGTCTCTGGACCTAATACAGATTGAGAGCTGTGAATAATACTGTAGGGAAAACAAACAAACAAGAGCCGACAGTACACATCCTCATCTTCACTGCGACACCGTCACACCCGAGACATGGTGTAGTGAGACGTGCCAGTGGCCTTCCTTGTCCTGGTGAAGACCACACCGTACTGGCTCACCTGAGTCCACCTGAGCCCACCTGAGTCTGGGAGTCAGACAGAGTCCAAACTGAACTGCGGCTGTCCCCATTGCCTCCTGCGTCCATTTGTGTACACGCACGTGAACTCTGTGTGCGCCACGTGTGAGGATGAACCGTTATACACGCACGTGAACTCCGTGTGCACCTCGTGTTAGGATGAGCCGTCGTACACACTGACGAACTCCATATGTGCCACGTGTGAGGACGAGTCTTAGTACACACAAGTGAACTCTGCACCGTGTGTGAGGACGAGCTGTCGTACACGCTTGTGAACTCCATGCGTGCCACATGTGAGGACGAGCTGTCGTACATGTTTGTGAACTCCGTGTGCGCCATGTGTGAGGACGAGCTGTCGTACACACTCGTACACGCTCGTGAACTCCATGTGTGCCACATGTGAGGATGAGCCGTCGTACACGTTCGTAAACTCCAGGTGTGCCACGTGTGAGGATGAGCCGTTGTACTTGTTCGTGAACTCTGTGTGCGCCACGTGTGAGGACGAGCCGTCGTACACACTCGTACACGCTCATGAACTCTGTGTGCGCCATGTGTGAGGACGAGCCAGCCAGATAGAGCTGTTCATCGCACCAGCTCTCGGGCTCCTGGGGGGCAACACTGGGCACCCCTTGAGCATGCCCTGGGCATGTGGAGCTCCTGGGACTGTGCCAGCCACACCAGCCTCGCCGGAGCTTCCTAGAAACAGTTTCGGGGGCGGGTGACATGCTTTCCAAGAGGCCTGCGCTGGGCAGCGTGGGGAAGCATGTCGGAGCCGGTGAGGCTCGGCGGCAGCCGGCCAGGGTGCACGGCCGTTTCTCTCTCTTGGAGGCCTCCCAGGCAACCCCTGTTCCGTGGCACGGAGTGCAGCGCACTGGGGAGGCTGCTCGGCCACGGCCGGGTCACTCCCTTGTGGAATGTTTGCAAGAGCTTCCAGAATGCCTCCGTCAATCAGGCCGTCAGGCCGCGACTGCCCTGCTGCTGGGGCTTTAAACGTGAAGGTCAGCAGGGCTGGGACTGACGTGTGCGGACAGTGGGAGTGACCCTGGCCGGGAAGCGGGGGAGGCCTGACATTGTTTCTCTGCTCTCCTGGCCTGGGCTCCGGGCTTGGAGCACCCGCCATGGCGTCCCTGAGCAGGGCACGCCGCCCCGCTGTTATCCCCGAGAAGGAGGAAGTGCCCCAGACGGCCCTGAGCAGCGTCCACCAGGATAATGGCAGTGAGGACGAGCGCGCGGTGTCCAGGCTGCAGCGCAGGCACAGTGACATCAAAGTCTACAAGGAGTTCTGTGACTTCTATGCGAAATTGTGAGTGTCTCCTTCCCCGGTGTCCCTCCTGGGCCGGAGCAGGGGGTCCCAGGGCAGTGCCACAGGTTCGGCAGGTGGCTCGGCCTGTCCTGCACACGTGGCCGGAGGAAGGGCACCGGGAGGAAATGCTGCCTTCAGTCCGAGGAGTCGTCTGTCCTCAGCAGGGTCCTGATGGTGATGCCTCTGTTTCCACTGTGTGGCCAACAGGGAGTTTAGGGTCTTCATTGTTAGAATTGCAGTAGAAAATGTTTGTACTCTGAAACTGCGCACAGACCAGGGCAGGCTGGGGGACACTGAGAAGCATATGCCAGATGCTGACAGAAATACAGGGTCTTGTTATGTTTAACAGTCGGCAGTTGGAAGCCACTAACTGGGTTTCTGAGGACTGACTCCAGGGGATTGAATGAAGAGAAAAGGGTGGGGTGTGACTTGTAAATACATATGTCATGCAGTTGACCCCAAAAGTTCATCTAACTCATATTATTAAATGGGTTTTAGCGAACAGTCCATTTAAAAAAAAAAAAAAGTGCACAGGAGTGTTTAGACCAACTCATGTGAGATTGTTGACCTGATACCAAGTTGTAAGCTTGGCCTTGGCTGGTTGCTCAGTGGTTAGAGTGTTGGCCGACAGACCAAAGGGTCTTGGGTTAGATTCCCTGTCAAGGGCACGTACCTGGGTTGTATGTTCGATTCCTGGCCCTGGTCGGGTCATGCGGGAGGCAACCAGTCGAACTATCTCTCTCACATAAATGTTTCTAGTTCTCTCCCCTTCTCCCCCTTTCCTCCCTCTCTCCCTCCCTTCTACTCTATCTTAAAAAAAAAAAAAAGGAAAAATATCCTGGGGTGAGGATTAACAAAAAGAAAAAGAAAAGTTGTAAGCATAGATTTATTGTAAATCCCCAGTTTGTCATTTAAGAGGTAAGGAATATGTAACGGACCTGATCCTCTTGTTTTCGTAAATTCATTGTGTGCTGTTGCAACAGATGTCATGTATTTCACAGCTCATGAAGAGTTCTTTTTAAGCGTAATTGGGCAATTATAATTACCCTGTAACTAAAATGTTTGGAGAATTCTCAAGATGCTTTTTGGATTTGTACACTGTTTGCATTTTAATGCCAGAAAATTTGTTTCACCCATTTTCAAACTAGTTTATTTAACTTCAATGTAAACGGTAGATAGCAGCAATTTTCAACCTTCTCCGTCTCATGGCACACAGACTAATTACTAAAATTCCGCAGCACACCAAAAAATACATGTTTTGCTAATCTGACCAAAAAAAAAATAGGTATAATTTTGATTCATTCACACCAGACAGCTGTTGTTGTGTTGGCTGTTGTCATTTTTTTTTTTTTAATCCTCACCGAGGATATTTTTCCATTGATATTCAGATAGAGTGGGAAGGAAGGAGGGAGGGAAAGAGGGAGGGAGGGAAACATCCATGGGAGAGAGACCCCATCGATTGGTTGCCTCCCACACGAGCCCAACCAGGGCCAGGGATCAAATCACAACTGAGGTACATGCCCTTGACTGGAATTGAACGCTCGACTCTCTGGTCTATGGGCCGTCGCTCTAACTGCTGAGCCAAATTGGCAAAGGCTCTTGTCATTATTTTTATTTGACAATCTAAGGGAGAAAAGATCAGTGTCCCTGACTAAATAGTCAGGTGTTGCATGTTTTAAAACTTCTTTTGGCAACCAGTTGCCAAAATTGCTGGTCTATAGTAATGATCAAGGTCAATGATAAACATTTTGAACTTGTGACCCCTGAGGTCACCAAAGAGCTTCTGTTTTATCAATATTTACTGTGTCAGAAAATAAAATGAGAAAATTCTGAGTATGTGTTAGTTCATAAAGTAACAAGCTCAGCCCTGGCCAGCTTGGCTCAGTGGCTGGGCCTCACCCTGGGCACCGAGATGCTCCATTCGGCCCAGGTCAGGGCACACGCCCAGGTGAGGCCGAATCTGCCATCGGTGCTGCTCTCCCAGCCGTGTTTCTCTCCCTCTGGCTCTAAAAGATCTTAAAAGAATATTAACAGTCTCATTAAGCAATAATATTAATAAACATCAATGTTAATTTTTTAATGAAAAGTAAGTGTTTCTGCCCTGGCCGGTTTGGCTTAGCGGTTAGAGCATCGGCCTGCGGTCCGGAGAGACCCGGGTTCGGTTCCTGCTAGGGGCACGTACTTCGGTTGCAGTTTGTCCCCGGCCCTGGTTGGTCATGCGGGTGGCAGCCACTCGATGTGTCCCTTTCACATCGATGTTTCTCTCTCTCTCTCTTCCTCTCTTTCCCTCCCACTCTATCTGTACAAAAAATGGAAAAATGTCCTCAGGTGAGGATTAAAAAAAAAAAAAAAAGTAAGTGTTTCTAAGACAACAAATGGTTGGTGGGGAGTATAGCATTGTGTTACATTTTTAAAATCTCCTTATCCTTTGTCTTAATAAAAGACAGTTTCTCACAGCCCGGCCGGTGTGGCGCAGTGGATGGAGCGCCGCCCATGGACTGGGAGGTCCCGGTTTGATTCCCAGTCAGGGCACATGCCCAAGTTGCGGGCTCGATCCCCAGTTGGGGGTGTGCAGGAGGCAGCCGATTGATGTTTCTCTCTCTTTAAAAAAATTAATTTAAAAAATTGCTGTGGCTGTTTGGTTCAGTGGTTGGAGCATCAGCCCTCAGACCAAAGAGTTGTGGGTTCGATTCCTGGCAAGAGCACATACCTTGGTTGTGGTTCGGTCCCTAGCCCTGGTTGGGTCGTGCAGGAGGCAACCAGTCGACGTGGCTCTACCACATCAATGTTTCTCTCTTCCTCCCTCTCTCTCTGTCTCTCTCTCCTCCTCCTCCTCCCACTCTGACTGAAGATAAGTGGAAAAAGTATCCTTGGGTGAGGATTAAATTTATGTGTGTGTGTGTGTAATAGTTTCTCATAACTGCTTCTGCGTTCATCCTATTGTAATGCCTTCCTATAGATCAAGTCTATAAGAAAGTATGGACTTCCAGAGAGAAGTCAGAAAAGGGAGGACCTTTTGAACCTCTGAAAGGGTCACAGTGGCCCCTGAATTTTGAGAACCACTGATCTAGGTAATAATGAGTCATGACACTCCAGGATGGTCTTATTTTCTAGTTCTTTTGGAGTTCCATTAAAATCATTGGGGATTTAGTGAATTTTTTTTTAATTACTCACTCGAGGATATTTTTCCATTTATCTTGAGGTAGAGTGGGAGGGAGGGAAAGAGACAGAGAGAAACATCCACTGGTTGCCTCCCACATGACCCAACCAGGGCCAGGGACCAACCGCAACCAAGGCACGTGCCCTTGACCGGAATCAAACCCTTGACTCCTTGGTCCACGGGCTGATGCTCTAACCAACCACTGAGCCGAACTGGCCAGAGGAAACTTGATGAATCTTTAGTGTTTTTAATGAACAATAATGCATTTCCTGGTTTCCAAAGTGGTGTTATATACTTTTTCTTGTTTCATCCTCAGAACAGTACTGAGGATTACCAGGGCGGGCATGGGCTTACCACCCCTCATCAGGGGCACCCATGGAGGTTGGTCAGGAGCTGGGGGAGCTCAGACCTCCCAGAGCTTTGCTATCACTTCATGGTTCATCTGGCTTACCACACAGCCGGTGAAGAGGGCATTTTACAGATTTGTTTTTCTAGAACAGTGATTTTGAAAATTACTCTGAATGTGAGATGTGGGCAAAGTTTGCCAAACAGTGAATCTGCCTCCCTCCCTCCCTGCCTCCCTCCCTCCCTGCCTTCCTCCCTGCCTCCCTCCCTCCCTGCCTTCCTCCCTGCCTTCCTTCCTCCCTGCCTTCCTCCCTGCCTCCCTCCCTGCCTTCCTCCCTGCCTTCCTTCCTCCCTGCCTCCCTGCCTTCCTCCCTGCCTCCCTCCCTGCCTCCCTGTCTCCTTCCCTGCCTCCCTGCCTCCCTCCCTGTCTCCCTCCCTGTCTCCCTCCCTCCCTCCCTCCCTCCCTGACTCCCTCCCTTCCTGCCTCCCTCCCTCCCTGCCTGCCTCCCTGCCTGCCTCCCTCCCTTCCTCTCTCCCTTCCTCCCTTCTCCCATTCTCTGTTAGGGGGTGGGGTGATGTTTCCACTTTACATTTAAGCCTGTTGAGTAAAATTGAGTGTGATTGGTATGTGGGGAGAAACAGAAGTTATGGCAAAGCTACAAAGTAGGCATACTGTTCTTTGGAACACTTCAGGGGAAAGGTGGAGTGGCCCTCTGTGGGGTGGGGTCCAGGTGAGACAAGGTATGTGTGAAGACTTTGCTGAGGAAACGGCCAAATGTAGACACTGGTCTGACAAAGCAGTTCGTCTTTCTGTGAAAGGGACTCTGCTCCCCACCTGTGCGCAGGGTGGTGAGGGTGTCCGGGAACAGGGCAGGAACTTCATGGGGTGAAGTGAAGGACTGTGAGGCGGGGAGAAGCTGCACCGGGGACCAGACATGCAGGGGCAGCCTGTGCGCTGAGTGGGCCTCTGAACCTCCACTTCCAAGTGCAAAGGGGCTTCGCCAGCGGCTGTCCTGCCTGGAGGACCCTGTCCACTCGGAGACCTGTCGGACAAACAGTTCTGTGTGTGACACTTAGGGGACCCTTAGAGAAGAACTGTTACGTGATTACATGCCTTGTTCTGTGCTCCTCCTGCCAACTGCTTGGTGAGGTGGGACTTGGGACCGCGTACTGAGGGCCCCTGTGTGCCGGGGAGGGGACTGCTGCCGCAGTGACCAGGGATGGCTGTCACCATCCCACCTGGCTTTCCTTTCCTCGTCTGCGGGTCTGGTGGCATCCCTGTCACGTCCTCCCCAGTGTTGAAAGGAGTGTTGTTGTCTGAGCGATTTGATGAGCAGGGACCCGGATCCTAGTCCTGTCTCTTCCTTTAGCTCCTGAGCTTTGTGGGCTGGGCTGGTCGCGCCCTCTGCCGGTCAGCTCAGCCCACAGGACCGGCCATCCGGACGGGGTCGCTCAGCAGCTGACCGGGTAACCCTGTTGGTGACGCTTGGTCGATGTGAACTTTACATTCTGCTCTCAGAAGGGGAGACAGGCTGAGGTGTGACCTGTGGGTGTTGTGGTTCCACTGTGTACGGAGCTGTAAACTCCAGCTGCAGGGGCAGCTCTGCCTTTCAGATCTGTCCGTGGGGCCTGCCTGTTGCGGGCGGTCACGCCTGCTGTGTTTATCAAGAGGAATGTCAGAATGTTCCGGAAACACAGGGTCCCCGCGGGAGGCCCTCTGAGGACCTACGATGCCAGGGCCAAGGGTTCAAGCACGTTGAGTTGAGCACTCAGCACACAAGCTCGCAATCGGGTGCATCGATGCCGTGTGGCTCTGTGATCCGATGCAGTGTGCTCGTTGGTTCTGCTTTCTGTCCTGAGTCTAAGCAGAGGCTCACCTGTGACTCCCTGTCCTCTGTTACAGCAACATGGCCAACGCCCTGGCCAATGCCGCCTGCGAGCGCTGCAAGGGGGGCTTCGCGCCCGCGGAGAAGATCGTGAACAGCAACGGGGAGCTGTACCACGAGCCCTGCTTCGTGTGCGCCCAGTGCTTCCAGCAGTTTCCCGAGGGCCTCTTCTACGAGGTTGGTGGCCTGGGGGGCGTGGGCTCCCTCCTCCCGCCCTCCCCTCTGCTCCCCGCCTCGCTCTGCCCCTTCCCCTGCCCCTTCCCTCCCTGTCCTCTTCCCTGCTCCCTGCCCTCCCCACTTGCCCCCTCCGCTCCCTCCCCTCCCTCAGCTCCCTGCTCCGCTGCCCGGCTTTCTGGAGGCAGCAGGCAGCTCTGTCCCTTTGAATGCTGACGTGGAAGACGGTACTGCAGTGCCCACAGGGCCAGGCACTAGGTGTCTGCCAGGTTGGTGAGGGCTTGGATGCGCAATGTCTGACAGGCCCGCCAGTCACGCCCTTCATTCCACCTCCGGCTCAGGGTGCCCCAGGTTTCAGGGTGCCCCAGGGTACTGTGCCCCAGCCTCTCAGACCGGAGCTGCAGCTCGGCGGGCAGCGTGCTTTCAGAAACAGCCTGTTTCTCCAGCTTCTCCACTCAGGGTCCACTGCTTGCCTCTCACACCTGCCTGATGCCACCTGGGCGCCTTCCTCCTCCTCAGGGACTCGGGGACCCTCTCTGGAGGGGGTCTTACTGCTCCGGCACCTCGGCAGCCAGTGGGACCTCCGTGCGCTCTCTTCTGAAGAGGACCTTGCTTGGAAAGGGATGCTTTGGGGGCCCCAGTCCCCATCTGGCTTCTCTTTGTCTTGTGTTCTTGTCCACATGCTTGTTCTTCTTGACACTCTGGTGCCCCATGTGGTCTGCACTTTCTGTCTCTACTCTCACCGCGATGGGAACCCCTGCGCACCGGGCCTGTCGCTCCGGGGCTGGGCTGGGAGGCTGACCTGTGTCTTGGTGAGATGAGGGCTGTGTGTGTGATCAGCTGGATAGTTTACGTGGACCACTCCCTCCCTCGTGTCTGTACACACGTGTTCTTCAGTTTCGCTACGTGGTGACACACACGGGATCACGTCAGAGCCGGAGGTGACGCATGTTTGAATTTCTGTCTCACACACCAGTCCTGAGGAAGGAGAGGTCTTGTTAACTGTCATCAGTAAGCTGATTGTGACTCAGACAGCATTTCCCCCTGAAACAGTGCCTCGTGGGAGCGGGGTTCCCAGGCCAGCCGGCAGAAAGCTGTGTATCCGTGTGTCATGGGTACACGACACCGTGCGAGGTGACTGCACTCCCGGAAATGCAGTTTTATTCCCTGGGACACCTTTGAGCTCCCACTGTGGCCCAGAAACATACTTACTACGAAGAAAACACCGGCCGTCGGAACAGGACTTCTCTTCTTCTAGTTCTCCCTGACTCCTCTCCTGGGCAGCAGACTCTTTTCTCTCAAGGGTGATGGCTTTTGCATGAGACAGCAAGTGACAGTTGGGGGTGGGACCTGAGCAGAAAAGACCCAGCCCCCAGCAGATGGAGGGAAAAGTCAGGAGAGGAGCTGGTGTAGGGGGTCCTGGTTAGAGAACCCTGAGTTTGTGAGTGGAGATGCTACTGGTAAGGAGGAGGGTGGCAACTAGATTCAAGAAGCAAAGGAGCGCCCTGGCCAGTTTGGCTCAGCGGTTAGAGCGTCGGCCTGCGGTCCGGAGAGACCCGGGTTCGGTTCCCGCTAAGGGCACGTACTTCGGTTGCAGTTTGTCCCCGGCCCTGGTTGGTCGTGCGGGTGGCAGCCACTCGATGTGTCCCTTCACGTCGATGTTTCTCTCTCCCTCCCTCCCACTCTATCCGTACAAAAAATGGAAAAAATATCCTCGGGTGAGGATTAAAAAAAAAAAAAAAAAAGAAGAAGCAAAGGAGCCCTGGCTGGTCTGGCTCAGCCGTTAGAGTGTCGGCCCGCGGACCAGAGAGTCCCGGGTTCGGTTCCTGCTAAGGGAACTTACCTTGGTTGCAGTTTGTCCCGACCCCGGTTGGGGTCCTGTGGGTGGCAACCAGTTGATGTGTCTCTTTCACATCGATGTTTCTCTCTCTTCCTCCCTCTCTCCCTCCCGCTCTATCTGAAGATAAATGCAAAAATGTCCTCGGGTGAGGATAAAAAAAAAAATGAAGCAAAGGAAATCTCCCTGGCCAGGTAACTCGGTGGGTTAGAGCGTCCTCCCGAGACACCGAGGTTGCAGATTGGACCCCTGGTCAGGACACATACAAAAATCAACCAGTGACTCGACCAGTGAATGAAATGTATAAATACATGGAACAATAAATCCATGTTTCTCTCTCTCTCTCTAATCAGTCAATAAATTTTTTTAAAAAAGAAGAAGAAAAGGAAGTCATTAGAGGCTGAGGCTGAGGCAGGGAAGAGAAAGGCAGTGTGTGGGGGGGGCGATACCCCATCTGTGTAGAAAGACCTGCTTCTGCAGGGTGGGCAGAGCATGCTCAGCTTCCGAGGAGGCACACGGGAGGTGGTCAGGACTAAAGGAAGGAGGTGGGACCCCAGAGCACGTTAAGAGAACCCTAAGAATCAGCCTCTGAGTGAGCATCAGTCTTCCTCCTGTGTAAACCCCTTATCCCTGCCTTTGTTTTCCACGAGGCCCCAGGAGGTTGAAACGTCCTTGATAACAGCAGATGTGAGGCCAGTGGAATCAGCATCTGGTGTGGTCTCCCAACGTGCGGTATTCTTTCCTTTCTGTCTCCCATTCAGGTCTGGGTGTTGTTGACATGGATAGTTAGGGCCGAGGCCTCGGAAGAGATTCCCGAGGAGAGGACAGAAGGACAAAGAGAAAGGCAGGCTCTGGATTTCTGCAGCGTTTTTCTTATTTCCGTGGTCTGCTGTTTCCTCCCTGCCTGTTCCTTTTCTCTAGGCTGTCTGTTTGCTTCTGTTTTGGAATTAATAACATGGTCAAGCACAGTCCCCTCGGCTCCTGGTGCCCTGGCAGGGTCCTGCAGCGCCGACCACTTGTGCTGGTCAGAGGCCAGGCTTGGCCAGAGCCTTTGTGCAGCGGGACAGAGCCCATCCTGCTACCCCTCACGCCTACGCCCGGGCTTGGCTGATGGTGCCCCGGAAGCCACCAGCACCCACATCCAGTCTGTGATGTGCTGTTGTCCAGCTTAAGCCCCCTGGGGTCCTCAGAAAGGTTACTCTTTTAGCTGCATTTATCAGCAGAACCCCTTGTTCAGCCCATTTCTACTAGGCAAACAATGTTGGAGAAGCTGTGCAGGACTTCCAAGAAAGGATACGCTTCTCTCTGTGTCAGCAATACACTGTTTCACAGACAAGGAAGCGCAGAAACAGTAAGAAAACATGCCCCGTATGGAGACTGCACAAGAGACCCACCTCGGAACGGACTGAAATCAAAGGGATAGAAAAAATATTTCGGCCCTGGCCAGTTTGGCTCAGCGGTTAGAGCGTCGGCCTGCGGTCCAGAGAGACCTGGGTTCGGTTCCCGCTAAGGGCATGTACCTCGGTTGCAGTTTGTCCCCGGCCCTGGTTGGTCGTGCGGGTGGCAGCCACTCGATGTGTCCCTTCACATCGATGTTTCTCTCTCTCTCTCTCTCCCTCCCACTCTGTCTAAACAAAAAAGTGGAAGAATGTCCTTGGGTGAGGATTAAAATATATATATATATTTCATGCAAATGGAAACCAAAAAGAATGCTGGGGTTGTGACACTGACATTGGACACAGTGGACCTGGAAACTAAGGCTGTGACGAGACAGGACACTGCATAGTGATCCAGGATCGACTCAACGAGGACGTACCTGTTGGGAACATCTGTGCACCAGCACTGAATCTGTGAAGCAGATCCGGGTGACAGAAGGGGACAGAGCGCCAGTCATACTCACGGCAGGGATTTGAACACCCCACTGACATCAGTGGGTAGGGCTTCCCGAAAACAAATCAGTGAGGACACAACATCCTTAAATATACTTTAAATAGTAATGATTATAATAATAACTATCATTATTATTATCTTAATAAATATTGCTCTAGCCCTGGCCAGTGTGCTCGGGGTGATGACAACAACGATGTGAGCATGTTAGAACGACTCTTGTCACCTTCCAGCACTGTCCCCACCCAGAGCCCAGGAGCCGTTGCCCAGCGGCGTGCGTGCCTCCCCGGTGGGGCTCACCTGCGGGCGGTGGTTCCCATCACTTCACCTGCCTGAAATGCGCTGCTTTACGGTGCATCAGTGCCCTGTTGGTTTTATAAGCGGTGTGAACTATATTAATGTCCCTATTTCTGAAATAATCACCTGTGACCCGTTAGGAGCCAAGCACCATGCTAGGTGTTTTACAAGCTGTTGTTCCTACTCTTTTTCCTCCATCTAGCTCTCCCATGGACCCTGCACATGAGGCATTTGTGTCCACGTGTGGCCCGAGGCTCGCACATGCGAGTGGGCAGTGAGGACTCCCCGCAGGCTGTCACCTCAGGCTTTCGTGTGCCCACTGTTTTCCTCTGTTAGGTGCCCGGCTCTCACTGGAACGGAAATAGTTTCATAGGAATTTTTTTTTCAATTTTTTTTTTTCTTTATTGATTTTAGAGAGAGAGGAAGTGAGAGGGAGAGAGTGTAACATCAATGAGAGAGGACGTCCACTGGCCGCCTCCTCCATGTCTCCACTGGGGATCGGGCGCACAACCTGGGCATGTACATCCCGGGAATCAGACCGGCGACCTCTTGGTGCAGGGTCGATGCTCAACCCCTGAGCCACACCAGCCAGACTGTATATATATTTTAAATATTTTTTTATTTTCCTGGCCCTTTGTGTCAGTGGTTAGAGCATCAGCTCATGGACCAATAGGTGTAGCGGGTTCGATTTCCGGTCAAGGGCATGTGCCTGGCTTGCAAGTTCGATCCCCAGCCCCAGCCAGGGTCGTATGTGAGGCAGCCCATTGATGTGTCTTTCTCACATTGATGTTTCTCTCTCTGTCTCCCTCTCTCCCTTTCATTCTATCTAAAAAATTAATGGAAAAATGTCCTCACATAAATTGATTTTGAGGGAGAGGGAGAGGGAGACAGAGAAGCATTGATGTGACAGAAACATCAGTCGGCTCCCACCTGTACACCCCCTCGGGGGACCAAGCCTGCACCCCGGGCGTGTGCCTGACTG